GGCTGCTCCTTGGAGGCAAGGATTCTGGGGCTTCGTCTGACATACTTTGGACATGTTGTGAGGAGGGACCGGTCCTTGGAGAGGGACATCATGCTTGGGAGGGTGGAGGGACAGCGCAGAAGGGGTAGGTCCTCTGTGAGGTGGACTGATTCAGTGACTGGGGTAATCGGGATGGGTGTGTCAGAGGCAATGTGATTGGCACAGGATAGAGCACAGTTTAGGACTGTTGTACATACGGTCACTATGAGTCGCAAGTGACTCAACGACACATAACAACAACAAATGCTTGGAGGAGAAACTGACGGACTCCTCACTTGAAGGATTGTTAATGATCTGATGGAGTGCACGGTTGACTGTTAACTATGAGTGCTAAGACTTGACAGTCAGCGTGAGGAAGCAGCAAAAAGAATAGCAGCACAGCCACAAAAAACACAATTCAGGCCCTAAAAAGAACAAGTGAGGGAGCTGCACCTGTGGGCTCAAAAGAATGCCCACACTTGTCCAGGGAGAGAAGGGACATACCCAGTGTAACCTCATTCTGGCAGAGCAGGGAGAAGTCTGGGAGCACTTTTGCGTTGTTACACACGTGGACAGCAAGCACAACGCAGGCACGCCGGGCGTGAGCATCAATTATGTGGTCAGTGCAGAGAGCAGGGGACAGGCAGCGAGACAGCCAAACTACTCTTGTGTTTACTGATTTTTCTTTTCAGGAAAAGCACGCAACTGATGACCACAGTCGTGTAGAATATTACAGTGCAGAAAGCATCGCTACCAGGCTTGAGCCTCACTGGGAAGATCTGACTTGCAGCACTAGAAGGGAGTGCTCACAGTTGTGACATGACCAGCCAGCTCACTGGCAGGCAGGCTGCCTCGAAGTCCAGCTGGCTTGGACCCCAGGATTCCGAGCGGAGCAGACAGGCCGTGCTGCACGTGCTGTGTCACCAGCCGTCAGAAAGCTGAGCCCATCCTAAGGGTGGCCAGGAGGACCAGCAGACCGTGGACGGGACGGACAGTGGGCTTCTGTAATTCCATGCATGTTCCAAGTTCTTCTATGTATAGACTTTCTTCATCTGCACACTGTAACTTCTACAACTAAAATGACTTCTTGTGCAATGAAATATTACTAGTAATATGCTCTTAAAGAACTGCTTTAGGAGAATCAAAGAATTCAGAGTCTCCTGGTCACAAGCAGCATTTTATTTATTTATTATTTCATGTGTATGCACCGTCAAATTGGATCTGACTGGTACAGGAGGAGATTGCCCCTCCTTCTCCAACGTACGTCTGGGATTGCAGTGCAGCGTCCTGCCACTAGGCCACCAGACCTCTTTACAAGCAACATTTTAATAGGAATATTAAATGTCTTAGATAAAATGTTCAAATAATTTTACAGATGATAATTTTCATGTTAAAACAGCCTTAGGACCAAAGTGTATGTTAAAGAAAGGAATCAGAGATTATTGCTGGAATACCAAGTTTTCTGTGGCTAAGAAGAAATGTATTTTATGCTCAATAAATTCACCACATAGGAATTTTATGTGCCTAATTTAAATTATGTAAGACACCTAATCCTTTCCTTTGGAGGGTTTCCAGTGTAAGGACAACTTTGTTTTCTCTATAGACTATCTCAAGATTGGAGGAAGACAGGGCTCATGGGAAAATTATTGATCTGTTCTTAAAAATCTTCCCCGCTATGTATTCGGCTTTAAAGTTTCAGGACAGAAAAAGAAAACTGTAACAAAAGTGTGTGTTCTATACTGAATTGCGGCTCCCAAGAATACACGCCGTCAATCCCTTCTATGCCTGTGGTTCTAACCCCACCAGGAAAGGGGTGTTTTTGGGTAAATGAAGCAGGATTACTGCATTAGTGGAGTTTAAAGCAACACCTTCTGAGAGAGTTCATGAGCAGAGGCTGAAGTGGGGGAATGGGGGTGGGGGGTGGGGAGGCCAAGCCGAGGAGCAGAAACTCGGAGCAGGGAGATGGACTTTCCGGGCTGACAGGGAAGCGGGTCCCCAAATCCCAAGATTTCTAAACGAAAACCTTAAAGGGACCTCGTGGCATTACCTTGCTGTTTCCAGCAAGTTTTAGAGGAAGAGATGGACTTAAAAAGAAATTGCGCAGAATGAAAACAGTGCTTGAAGATTTGGGAAAGTCTGTTATACACACTAAGGGCACTTATTCCAGAATCTTGGTCACAGAGCCCTTTGTTAAAGAGATGAAGTCTCTGATGGGCAGATCTCACCAACTACCCCAGCAGAGAACCATCAGCTTAATCTGACGGGAATCAATCAAGAGGGCTGTCTGTCTCCTGGAATTCTGCAGGCAAAAACGGGCCAGAGGAGCTCCACCTCTGTAATCCAAGAAGAAAAGCAGCCCAGCAGTCAGCAGAACTGCTTGCTGGAAGGACCACCGGAAGCTGACTGCCACGATGGGTGCCAGTGTCCCAGGTTTCACAAAGCCTCTGATCCTTGCCAAGCTGGTGACACAGGGTAGGGCTGCTGTACCCAAGGGTCAGAAGAAGGGGGCCTGCAGGGGCCTCGTGGGTGGAGGAGAATGGTGGCCCCTAAAGTAAAGGGAGCGGAGGTGCCAATCCAGAAAGGCCTGGAATGTGAAGGGGAAGCCCAGGACAGTGGGGGCTCCACAGAGTGCAGAGAACAGGGTCAACAGGCAGAGTCAGGAAGGGAGAGTCAAAGGCTAGATGCTCTCAAGGAAACAGGACTGCTTTCCAACCCAGAGGTGTAATGCAATTTGTTCTGGAGACTGTGGAAAAAACCAAAGGATTTACAGCTCAGAAATGCCCCTCCCAAAAAAGAAAAGAAACCAACAGTATAAAACAGCATCCAAAGTCTGCTATGCATGAATGTGCTTCTCTAAAGATGTTCAAATATCAACATAAAAGCGAAAAATATGTCTATATTTTGGTATTAAAGAATGTAACAAAGCATTAAAATGGTTTCATACTTAAAAAAAAATTAGACTATTATGGATTGAATTATGTTCCCCAGAATGTGAATATTATTATGTACCATTGAGTTGCCTGCGATTCATAGTGACCCTCTGCACAACAGGTCTGAACCTTGCCCTATCCTGAGCCAATCTCACTGTCTCTGACACACCTACCCTTATTACCCCAGTTACCAGGTCAATCCATCTCATCCGTGGTCTTCCTCTCCTGTGCTGTCCCTCGCCCTTTCCAAGTATGATGTCCTTCTCCAAGGACTGGTCCCTCCTGGCCACGTGCCCAAAGTATGTGAGACAGAGCTTCAGAATCCTTGCCTCCAAGCAGAAACCTGGTTTCACACTCTCTAAGACAGAGTTGTTGTTGCTGTTGTTGTTGTTATGTGCCGTCGAGTC